TAGCATTAATTTATCTCAAATATGTAGCAACAAACCTTTAGTTGAGTTTTAAAGAAAAGCTTGACACAATCAAAAAAATCTGTGAATAATTGTAAGATTTGTTGCACTTTTAGTGACATAGAAGGCTGTTTTCAGAATAGCTTTTGATTACTCCCATTAAGACTAGTTTCTTTCTTGTGAAATTAATTTGGTTATTATCAGATGCCAGATTGGTGAGATGATTTATAACTAGTATATTCTTGCAATGTAATGCTCTGAATTCTTCTTGAACATTTAAACCGAAAGTTGAGATATGTACCTCCTTGGTAAATGATAATGATGAAGTATTTCCTACTTTGTAGGTAGAATTGAAAATCACCATAATTAATTTCTTTTTCCTCTTTATAAAACTCCTTTCTCTCCCCCTTGAGACACATTGGTTTCTCAAGTTATAAATTCAGATTCTTTTGTTTGTTCTGGCCACTTAGTTTTTCTTATTACATATCTATTTAATTTTTAATTTCTCATTAAAGGTAAATACGGCTAATTTTCCTATCAATATTTTAAGAAGTCTTCCCATTTCTCTCTGTCACAACCTTGATATAGAGCTGTCTGGTGTGGATAACTACATAATTAAAATGCCATTTTTTAAAATCGAATAGTTCCGGCAAAGCAGCCTAATAATACATTTTAAATGGATCAGAAGTTTATTTCTGTAAAGTTGAGATAAATGTTATAAATACCGTTTTGGAACTAAAAACAGTAAGTGGGATACTTAGTACTGTGGGGAAGGTTGCTAAAATTGTAGGATAAATACTTAGAAATGAACATCTCAGGGATTCCTACCTTTTCAGTTAGTCCCATTTATTGTATAATGTAGATATATTAAAAAAATACTAATCTTGAGTCATTGGGCAAATTACTCATTAAGTACTGACTACATGCCAGTCACTGTGCTAGGCTCTGGGTATTCATTGGTGATCTAAACAGATAAGATAAATCTGCCCTGTGCCGTTTGTGCCGGAGCTCCTGGTGTGGGAGCACCTGTGTAGCTGGGACATAGTGACCGAGGGAGAGACCAGTGTGAGACGAGACCAGAGAGGCAGGCAGGGCACTGGTAATCACAAGCGTGTGGTTATGGTGAAGGGTATGGACTTTATTCCAACTGCAATGATAAGCCATTGAAGGCTTACTGCAAGGGAATCCAGCTGTAGTTTTACAAGTATTATTCTGTGGACAGTGGTTGGTGGGCATAAGAGGAGAAGCAGAGAATGCAGTTAGGGAGTTTGTTGTAATCCAGGCAAATAATGACGGTGACTTAGACTAGGGTAGTGGCCCTATAGTTGGAAATAAATCAATAACGAGCTGCATGGAAGAATTAACGAAGCGTTGTGGGTGGGATTTGGGGACAGCGGGGTAATGAAGGCCAAGGACGTATCAAGGATGTTTTTGACATCTCTGGCTTGAACAACTGGGTACCTGAGATGGGGAACACGGGGGAGGAGCAGAACCGGAAGGGCCGGATGGTCAGTGTTGTCTGAGGCACGTTGCGTGTGGGGGAGGGTGTGTTTATGAGGCGGGTCTGCAGGGACTAGCCTGCCCTTCCTGGAGCTGTGGTCATGGGTTTATGACCTGGGTACAAATTGGACTGAATAAATCACTTCTACCACCAAACACTTCGTACTGGTTTCCAGCTCATAGATAAGTCGCTGTTATTGATCATGCCTTTATAATCTCTCATACAACTCAGCACTTTAAAAATGTCTCTGCATCTAATGGGCAGGACAGTATTCATGTTACAGTCAGTGCTCCCTTGTTGTCATCTGTTGTCTTTGTCCTTGGTGTTCCTGGAACTGTGCCTGCCTGGCCCACAAGGTCAAGTTACAGATTTGATCTTCACGTGGACCAGTTGGATTTTCCATTACCCTGTTACAGGCTGCATCCCTCACCTTGGGTGGCCGACTTGATAACCTACTAGGAAGGAAATTGGGCTGTAGGTGGAGCCAGTATGAAACAATGGCAATTTATCTTTGCTACTTAAAACTCAAACTTGCATTCTATCTCTGCCAGTACCCTAGTGGCCTCTACAAAAGCGGAGCCCACATATGTTGTGCACTTGTCCCATTGACTGTGGTTGTATCTGCCTTCACATGAAGAATACATATGTTGAGAATATAAACCACCTCATTTTATTCATCTTTTCGATTTTCTGCAGCTAGTATTTTCATTTCCTTCCCCAAGTAGAAATGGGCCTTTTAGGTGCTGGGATTGTAAGTGCTTTGTTCTTTGCTGTACCTCTAGTTCTTGGCACAGGGACTGCTATGCATCTGGCACTTGCTGTTTATTAAATAAATGAGTCATAGAAGGAACGGCCCAGTGGTCATTCTGTGAGGGGGGACAGTTCAGTTTTCAGAAACCTAGAGATCAGGCAGACTGTGTACTTCCTGTAAGACGATGTCCCTGAAACCTACTGAGGAATCTCAGCTGAAGAACATAACTTTAGGAACCATCCTGATTAAAAGAATTACAGAAACCATGAAGGTGAAGTTCCACGAGTGTGTGAAAAAGAGAAGAAGGACAGATGAAAAGTGAAAAGCAGAGAAGAGGGGGCCGGGAGGAGGGCGACGTCATGGGAAAGCGCGGTGTCCCAGGAGAGCAGCAGCGGGGTCCACAGTGGGAGATGCACCGAGAGTCCGGGAGGGAGGCGAGCAGAAAGGGACCTTCGGATTCGGGCAGCAATAAAGCAGGTGTAACGTGAGCCTGGTCGTAGTGTGAAACATGATGGGGGAAACGCCACTCCCTTTCTGTTTGAGCTCTTCATCGCTCATGATTCTGGCCGAGGGGGAACTTTTCTTAAGCAATAATTAGTTTTGCTTTTCCGCCGTCCGTAGCCTGGCCTCCCCAGGACATCGTTTGTACCGATACTTGAAGGGTTTATCTGCGATTTCTTGTAAGCTGATTACTTACCGATCAAGGCCGTGTTTTTCCATTGATCCTATTTCAGGTTACGGCGTTTGATAGATATAATTATTTAGGAGAATTGCAAGAAAGTTACAGTAGCTAAAGAAGATTATATTCAAGGCCAATGTGAAAAGTAGAGGAGCTTTTCCGTTGAACTTTCATTAAATTCTCTACAGAGACTGCTACAGAGCTATAATAATAAGCCCATGACAATAAAGGGACCTGGGTTGTTCTGGTAATGGGGAGATACACACATACACACACGTAAGTTTTTCCTTGGGCATTTCTTTCGGGGTTATGTTGACAAGAATTCATATGGGGGAATGGGGAGTACATTTGAGCCTTATTAGGGTGCTACTATCAGCAGAGCCTTTTGCACATAAGTGAGGTTTCCTTATAGTCATGAAAAAAGTCGCTGCCATTTATTCAACACCCACCTCGTCCCAGACATATTACAGTTATCCTGGGAAGAAGGTATTATGCCTAATTTACAGTGAAGTAATTGGAGTTCAGAGAGTTTTAAGTAATTTGCCCTAAGTCGCAGGGCTAGCAAGTGGGAGAATCCTGCCCCTTTCTACTCGAGAGCCCGTGCACTTTTCAGCGTGCCGTCTGAACGGGCATCTTTGGGGAACCAGAGAGTTACCCGTTTGGGCAGAAGCCAAGAAAACTCCACAGAGAAAATGGAACCACTAGATGAGCACCCTTTCAGCACCCCGTCTCCTTGTCTGTCTGCTGACTCATATCTGCACCTGACGTTGATGTTACGACAGACATGTCATGTTATGAAGGACAAGGCTCTTCCCTTTAAGGACTTGATTCTTTTGTTTATCTCTTGCACCTTTAGTCTGTGTCTCTTTCTTTACTACTTCTGTTCATGAGCATAAACCAGTTCGTCACCAAAGCAGATACTTTCTGTACTGGTTAGTAATTGCTTTATAACAAACGACCCCAAAACTTGGTGAAGTCAAGTATCATTTATTTGGCTCGTTTTTCTGTGGGTCAGCAAGTCAGGCACGGGCTCAGCTGGACTCACTCACACATCTGTGGTCAGCTGCTGGTCACCTGCACAGCTTTGCTTCTGGGGCATTAGCTGGCTAGTGGCCAGGGCCATCAGGGTGGCTGGCTACCCTGGGCTTGTCCACATGGTTGTTCGGGAGGGTTTCAAGAGGGAGCAGAAGCCTGCAGATCGTCTGGGGGCCTAGATTCAGAACTCTTAGAATGCCTTTTCCTCTGTGTTCTGTCAGCCAGAGCAAGTCACGAGGCCAGCCCAGGTTCAGGAGAAGCAAACTGCTGAGCCCTGGGACTCTTCTCCATCAGTGGCTCCAGTCCACCCGATGACCATGCTCACACCACCACTTAGGCTGGATCCAATGCTAGGGACTGGGTTCCCTCGGTCACTGCATTTAGAACACTGTGTGGCAGTTGTTAGTTTACTTCTCAGTAGAAATTGAGCTCCTTAAAAACAGGGGCGGTGTGTCAATGCTGGATTTGGCACAGAATAGGTAACTTTTAAAAGCTGAAGTTTTTGTGAAAATAAAGTATTCCAGCAGTTGGTACCTAGCAATGTGGAATGGAAGATAATGTATACTTGCACTTTAAAACTTGCTTGTTGACATTTAAAAACTTTGGAGCAGACTCTACTATATGAAAATCAAATGTTTCTTTGAAAGAATAAAGGGGGTAAAGAATCCAGACCAACATTCTGAGCAGAAATCATTATTAGATATTTATGTACTGCCCTCGTTTTTATTAGGTTACAAGTTGGCTTAAAAGGAAGACAAGTCATGTTTTCATGGCATGTTTGTCAGAGGAAGCATAACCATCCATTAACTGGTCCCTTGGGATTTGGGATAATATTTCTATTTTAGAATGTAATCCGAAGAAAGGACATCAGCCAGTGTCCCGGAAGGGACATTACTCTGGAAGACACTGAGAAAAAATGTTTCTGATAGATGAGAGGTGGGATATGCATACTGTAAGCTCATTTTTAAGTGAGTCTGTCTTACTGGCGTATTACCGTTTAATTGGTGGATTTTCACGTGCATTTTTATATGTTTTAGGTTCAGCTGTCTGTGTACCTCCCCGGATTCCTAAAACAGCCCATTTTCCCATCACTGGGTTGACATCTAACCATGCAGAGGAGAACAAGAGGACTTAATACTGGGCTCCTTCTGCTCCTTTCTCAAATCTGCTACGTTGGGGTCAACAATATCCCTCCTGTCACCCTGGCCGCGTTGGCTCTCAACACCTGGTTTTTCTTGAGTCCTCTGAAGCCACTGTACGGCTCCTGCCTCAGCGTGGAGAAGTGTTTCCAGCAAAAAGACTGGCAGCGCTTGCTGCTTTCCCCCTTTCACCATGCGGATGATTGGCACTTGTACTTCAACATGGTATCTCTGCTGTGGAAAGGAATAAATCTGGAAAGAAGACTAGGAAGCAAATGGTTTGCCTATGTCATCGCCACGTTCTCCCTGCTCACTGGGGTGGTGTACCTGTTCTTGGAATTGGCCTTTGCAGAATTTATGGATGAACCCAGCTTCAGAATGAACTGTGCTGTGGGTTTCTCAGGTAAGGCAGACACATTTCTAAGGTGGCATCACGCCTAACGACAGTACGGGAGGTGCGGTTGCTTTCCTTTGAGGAAGCGTGGGTCCCCAGTTGGTGAGGGAATGGAATTCTGAGTGGTTAAGGGCTGCTGGGGGTTGGATTTGGGAGCGGAGGCTGATTGGCGCATAGGAGGCACAGAGGTTTTGCTATGATTTACTCTTGGGCAATTTGGACGACGTTCTGCTCAAAGGTGGTTTTGTAGGAGATGTGGTACTGGAATATGCATCGGCTCCGTGTGGGTGGGGTCCAGGAGAGGCCCCAGGTGTGTTCGTGATAGGGAGTTCTCCAAAAAGATGATATGCCTCTTAATGACTAAACGCATCCCACCCTGCCATGGCATGCTCACCATGTTTTAGAAGCCATGACCATCATTCCATATCGCTCACGCTATTTAATTCATATAACAGATTCATAGGGAGCTGGCATCATCTTGGTTTTGTAGATGAGGAAGCTGAGACTCAGAGAAGTAGGAAACTTGCTCCAGGATACACACCTCACAAGTGGGGGAGCGGGGATTCGAATCCATTCTTCATGACGTTCACCATGTGTTTGCGTTGCTTCTCACTTTTCCCCCTCACTAGTTAAGTTCCTTTTTTTTTACGCATATATCATAGAACTGAAATTGCCATCAGGGTTTAAATTAGGTGTTTTAAAAATCAGAATGCGAGGGGGGCCGAGGGAAATAGTTTTGAAACAGAAGGAAATCTAACCTTTCCTTCCATCTTCCCCGCTCTCCTTCCACCTTCCCTCTAAGATGCATCCTCCTGCATCTAATTGTGGGAGAAGAAAGGAAATCCGCCTGCCTTCAGCACGTCTCTCCACAGAGGTTCGAAAAACACACATTATTTGTCTATGTTTTTAATGGAGTTCAAATTCACATGACATGAATTAACGATTTGGAAGTGTACGATTCAGTGACATTTAGTACCATGGCCGGCATTCTATCCTCGTTTTATGTGTTACATGATTAGTAGTGTGCAGAAAGTCAGTATGAACTTCTGTGTTAAGAGACATGAAAAGAAGGGTGGCCTTGAACACTGTCCTTCTGCCAAATGCCGGGATGACTTATAAGGAATGGAGCAGGTTTCGAAGCAAAGAATTGGATGCAATCGAATAATCATTTTCACATTCAACTAGTTTTCTTTGCAAGTGTTGATTGATTACCTCCACATTTAGATTGTTGATATTTGTATGCTCTTTCTTCTCTTTTAGGAGTTTTGTTTGCTTTGAAAGTTCTTAACAACCATTATTTCCCTGGAGGCTTTGTCAGCGTCATGGGCTTTCCTGTACCCAACAAATTCGCTTGTTGGGCAGAACTTGTGGCGATTCATTTAATGGTGCCGGGGTAAGTGTTTACTCTTAGAGAATACAAATGAAGAGCCCGATGTTCTATGGAGAAAGAATTGCAATAATAATGAGGTAACCAGTTGTGTTTTACAGTGAAATTTATTCTTTAATCATATGGACAGAATCGAGCTTAATGGTTTTAATGTCAGACATTCCCGAGTTTGAATCCCGTCACCTACTGTGCTGTGTAATTTTGGTGGACTTGTCTTAGCTGAGTTTCCATCTCCTCACCTTTTAGGTAGGAATAAGACAACCCAAGATACAGATTTGAGGATCGAGATTAACCATCTTATCAGTTAATGAATTCGAACAATAATAATCCAAAGAGGCACATAGAAACCGCGCGATTATAAGATTTAAAAAAAATCACATTGGGTATCGGGCCAATGCCTTTAAGCCATTTTAGTTGTGAATTGTCTTGGCAATGTAACTCTTTAAATGAAAGGCTTTACTCCCAACCTCGATATGTAAAACGGACCAAATCCTAACTGTTTGGGGTTGAAAGAAAGCATGGGGCCCCATTCCCTTCGCCTTAGCTCTCTGTCGCTGTGGCCGCCTCAGAGGTATCTCCATAGGACCCTAGGACTCCAAAGAACACAATTTGAGAACCATGACGTTTATGAATCTTTGACAGACGAGGACGAGGAAACTCAAGAAGTTGGGAGACTCATCAGACAGCTCCTGGTAGACACCGGACTGGTTAGGAAGGACTCAGACCTCCTGACTTCCGGCTGGTGCTTCTGCCTGGGGTGCTGCGCTTTTCCACTTTGGTTCCTTTTTCTGCTTTCTGTTTAGAAAAAGGATGGCGAATTGTGTTATTTTTCCACCTCTTTCACCGGCTTCACTCATCTCAATCTGTATAAGGCAACTGGAAGCCCATGGTTTGTTTATTTTTACTCTGGGGACCTGGACACTGAAGAAAGGGATTTGAGATTCAGAAAGAAGGGAAGGTGATTTTCTCGCTGCTGGCTTTTTCAGACAGGAGTTTTTATTTTGCTTTTGGTTTGTGTGGATGTTGGGTGTTGTCCATCGCTCGACAATATTCTCCTCGGGCCCAGCAGCCTTGAGTCCTTCTTAGATGCTAATTTCCCATCACGGGCAGCCATTGCCAGCTGGTCTGTAAAAGGCAGCGACGTGGCCACCAAACACCACTCATTTGCAACTGTATTGTTATTTTGTGACAGTTCCACAAAGAAAGCCTAACAAAATCTTCAAAGTTTTCTTTGAAAAGGGGTCCAGTAATGTGTTTGTCCCTTAACCGAACAGCCCTCTCTATACCTTGTCACTCATGGCTCCCTGACTTGCTTGATGTGACTCGCTTCTCAATGTAGATGAGACACTCTTGAATGTGACAGCAACACCCAACATTCATATGAAAATCACTCCCTTTGGTACTTGAACTTTTATTCTATAATGAATCCTTTGAATAGCAGAGCCTTTAATATTCTCATGCAACTATTTCTGAAGACTCCCATCATGCATTTTATTTTTTAGGGTCCCCCTTCCATGGAAAAGGCACGGTTGTATTTTCAGGCAGTATGCTTATTCTGCATTTAAGGACCTGGGAATTAAATGAAATTTCTTATCTTTGAAGTTTGAAAGGATAAATCTTTTGATTGTTAAGATTCGACTGCTTTGAATAATAAGCTTCTGATATCCAAGCATCTACTTATGCATGTGTCCAAATAAAGACTGAGCTAACCGCGGGTCCAGGGAACCTAAGAAGCACGTGCTCCTTCGAGATGGAGCTGGAAGGATGGGAGAAACCAGAGCTCTCTTTGCTCTGCGTTGCTGTTCTCCTGGTGGGTTGTCAATTAGAATTTTCACCGAGAAAACACTGTAAATCTTGAGGACAAAGCCTGCTTTATTGTCGGACTTAATGAGCTGCCCTTCGAGAGATAGAAAAAAAATCTGCCAGGCAAACACTTGGTGGACCTCTGTGTTATATGAAAGCCATGGAATTAGTAATTTCCCCTGGTTACGGAGTTTGGTGGAGGGCAGCGTGTCCAGAGAGCCGGCCATCAAGCACTGGGAGGAGTGTGGACTTGACCGCATGGCGAAGTAATCACACATCTTTGCTGCTGCTTTTGCTTGTCGCAGGACCCTTGTGTGGACCTTGTTTCAGTGATTGCTTTGCCTTGTGTGCATGTCTTGGGACCCTGATAGGTGACCGTGTCCAGAGAAGTGCCCTGTGCCTGAGTTAGCCCAGGAGGGATGTGTACAGGCTACTTCAGGAGGCTGCCTGGCAGAAGGAGTGGGAATCCGATGCCAAGTGTTACTTTCTAGCCCAAATTATGAACCTCTGCAATTTCTCTATGAGCCTAAGGCTCTCTAGTCTGAAAACTCAAGCTCAGGGAGAGATGAACATTACTCAGAGTAAGAGAACCACTCAGTGACCACGCTGGAGACTGTGGTCAACTGTGAGAGGACCAGGCTCACGGACCAGCTGTGAGACCTCAGGCGCGTCACACAGCCTCTCCGAGCCTCGATTTTCCTTATCTGTAAAATGGGAATGTTACTTATCTGGTCTGCTTCATGTCACTTTTAAGGAGTCAAACAGGTAATCCATATGAAAGTGCTTTATAAATGATACAGTACTTAACTCATCATTTTTATTATGAGACAAATCACTGAAAATGTGCATCGTCCCTGAAAGGGACGATACTTTCTTTCTTTTCCTCCTAAAATGAATAAAACCAGCTGTTATTTAATTTTTTTTGTTTGAGTTCTCTCTTCCCATCTCTTGCTTCCCTACTCGACTTTTCCATCCTGAATGATGATTAGTGGTCTGAAAATCCCCCGTGAGCTACTCTTAAACACAAACGAAGCAGGCATTGACCAACTTTGGACTCTAGGCAACTGTTTAGTACAACATGGAAGTTCTGGAGAGGTTACACGCTCAGCTTTGGGTGCTGCCCCACTGCCGATGTTTGAGGAGAGTAATGATTCTGACCCTACTAAAAACTGCATGGTTAGATTGGCCAAATGAGAGAAAAATAGATTGAATATAGTTTTTGCTTGTTCCAGATTTTTAATTATGAACCTTTAATTATGTTTAAACAATTTTAAACATAAGTTGCTGAAGCTTTTGAAAGTAAGTGGTAAATATCATGACAACTTCACCCCTAAAAACTTCATCAGGTATCTCCTAAAGATATTCTTTTGCGTAATTACATTACTGCTGTCATACCAAACAAAATTAATTGTAATTCTCCAGTGGTGTCTAGTAATTAATTGGTCCATATTCAAATCTCTCAAGTTTTCAAAATGTCTTTTGTAACTTTTTGGGCGGGGAGGGGCGGGCATGAGGTAGAACCAGGATTGAGTCAAGGTTGACACATTGCATTCGATTATTATATTTCTTCGTTTTCTTTTACTCTAAGGCAGTCATTCCACCTTTTGATTTTTCCTTGACATTGAAAATGAATGTCACAGATATTTTTTGAAGTGGTTAGGTCTTTTCTAGAATGCCCCATGTTCTAGATTTGTCTGCCTGTTTCCTCGTAAGGTTACTTAACTTCATCCTCTGACCCCCGCATTTCTGTAAGCTGGAAGTTAGGTTTAAAGGGTTAAACTGGATTTTTTTTTGTCAAGACTACTTCGTAGGGGTGATACTGTACACTGCATGTTGCATTACATCAAAAAAGCCATAATGCCAGATTGTCCCTCTATTAGGAATTCTGAGTTTAATCACTTAAGGTTGTCTTCATTGTAAGGGTACATCTGTCCCTTTGTAATTGGCAAGTCATCTATAGGGTAGGATTTGTACATCATGCAGATAGTTTGTTCTCAATAACCTTTTTCCTTATGGTTTAGTATCTATCCATCATGATCCTTGTCTGAATTGGTTATTTCATGGTGAATTGTGAAGGATGATTTTCTGATTCTATCATTCCATTTATCATATGAGGTTAATCCAGAGTTGGAGGTTAATCACCAAAGGCAAGGAATTGAGGAAGGTGAGTATTCTGTCAAGGGCAGATCTTAGTTTTGGGGGCTTGGAGCCCCCCAAATTTTGTGGATTCTTCGTAAGAAAGAAATACAAAATTAGAAACAAAAGAAAAAATTTTAAATGAGCAAAGGAAACTCAACAGTGTATGAATTTTTAAGAGCTGACAAATACTAGAAACATTACAAAATACATAAAAATAATATCGCATTAACTTCCTGGCATGCGTCTCTAATATTTTCCCCCGCAGGTTTTGCTTCATATTCTTTGATTTCTTCTTCACATAACAATAACTTGGAAATTGCGTTTCTGTAGAGAGAATAGCGTAGTGTATCAAAGTCAGTTTTTTATTATAGAACATTTAGAAAAGCTTTCACAACTTATCATGTAAAATTTTAGAATTGTTATATTTGGGGAAACCTATCAAGTTTATTTTTACATACGAGCTATAAAATTTCAGGGCTTTTAAAGTTTTCTTGTGTGGTTTTCTTTTCAAGTTTCTTGACTGTTCTTTGAGTTGATTTGAGTGTCGTAACGATCTTTAGTGACATAGTACAAGATTCATGTTTTCTTCACGGGTATCAGTACTTTGCATTGTGTCAATAAGAAATATTACTTATGGTTCACTCTTCTACATTGACCGAATTACCAGAAATCCAAGAACTTATTCATTACTTCTGTTTACAGCTTTTGATGTGATTTGAAAATATTTTTTATTTGAGAGCTGCAAACACAGGAATTCTGATAAAGTTTGTTTTGCATGATTCTCAGAAAAGAGAAGTGGATGATGCATATAATTTAATGTACTGTGTTATCACGTATATTCCTGATAGAGAACTTCTGTTTCTCTTCTGTTTTAACTACGTATTGATAGGATGTGACCTCCACCTACAGTTTTACATGCTCGGTGGTTGGAAGAATTTTCCAGACTCTGGGTTCTGACTCAAGCCGAGA